TATAAATATTTGATCCACAACTTTCTTTTTCATATGATGATCAATGAAAATGGGCAAGAAGAAAATAAAAAAAATAAATAAAAAACAAAAAGAAAGAAGATATTTTTCCTTTTTTTTTTTTTTTGTATATATAATAAATATGTTTTTTTTTTTTTTTCTAAATAATTCTAATTTATAAAATTCAACGAAACATTGTAAAATCATGTTCCAGACAAAGTACAATTGAGAATTTTATTCTGTACAATGTGTTTAGAGAGAATTCATTTAAATGGATTAACAATTGTAGCTACTTTACAAATGTACTAAGAGAGGGGTTTTTTCTTTTTTTTTTTTTTTTTTACACGAACAGTTTTATTCGATATTTTGAACTGTTCGTTAAAAACAACAAACCATTCTTTTCTACGAGCTACTTTTTCTTTTCCTCACGTTTACTCTCTGGTAAATATCGTTTCGTAAATGCATTTATTTCCCGTTCACATTCAGAATATGCCATACCTAATCCAAAACCTGCTCCAATTATCAATGGCCACTTTCTTCCTAGAAAACAAATAATTAAAGATAAGAAATATCAATGAAATCATTCAAAATTATATTGATTAAAAATATATTAATTAATGAAATTGTTTTATATTTAGGTAAAAGAGGACAAAAATATAAATATATATATATATATATCTTACTTCGAAAAAAAAATAATGAAACTACTCCACCAATGACTGCACCACAACCTGAAAATAGAAATGACAATAATATATCATCACCGAGAGATATTCCATAAATAACTTAACTAACAAATTTTCTTTTACTATTTTTTTTTTTTTTTTTTATAAACAAACAGTATAACAAATAATTTATTACTTAATTTAATAAGACCATCCGCAAAACAACGATCCCATTTTCTTCCAATATCATCTTCGGTCCAAGAAACAGCCATTTTTTTAATTCTCCTTTTCACAAGTGACAGGGAAGGGGGTTATGTCATACAGATTTGTTTAAAAATTCTTATCTAAATCTGTTCAATTATTTTTCGTTAACAATAACCCTCAAATTGATGTTCTACTTTTATATTAAATATAAATTAAAATTCGTTTATCACAATAATGAATATTTTTCAATAGAATTAAATTGAACGAACAAGTCAGATAATAACCATGCCTCGCGTTACAGCAGCGCACCGACTATAGTGCGCCATCTGTCGTAACTAAAATGATTTAAGAAAAAAAAAAAGAAGAAAACAAAAATTGAAACATTACCATTGGTCGATTAATCGAATTTATTTTTGGACATTAAATTTGAAAAATTGATAAGAAATAAACAATCATATTTACATGATGGAAGAAAAATGAAAATACTTTTTTCAATATTTGCCAAATATCTAATCGTATGATAAATTATGTCAAAAAAAAAAAAAGAAAAACAAAAAAAAACAAAAAAAAAAAAACAAAGAAACTAACTCGCGATTTAAACATTTTCAAAATAATAATCGTTTACAATCAAATTACTTGTACGTAAAATTGTTAATTTTCTAAATTTACACTAGAATAATTAACTCAAATTAATTGAATTGTTCTAATTGAAATTAACATTCGTTGTCAGTTTCTAATCTACAAAGAAACAAAAATATATTTATATATATATATATATATATATATATATATATGTATATCAGTGCATCAGCACTCTCGCAATTAGGGTCTCGAATATTATTTTTTTTTCGTATTTCATTTTAACACTCTCCTAATCTTTTTCTTTCTTTCTTTTTTCTTCTCTCTCTATTTTCTTTCTTTTTTTTTTTTTCATTTTTTATTTCTTTGGAAATGACAAGGATAAAATTTACAAGGCCGAGGGCTGATTACAGTGCAACGAACTGCCCATATAGAAAAATGGACGAAGTGTTAGTTATAGCAAAAATTCCCCCCATCTAGTAATAGTATAGTGGTAATAGTAGTAATAGTTAATAGTAGTAGTAATAGTATTAGTAATATTAGTAGTAATAGTAATAGTAGTTATAATAATAATAATAATAATCATAATAATAATAATAATAATAATATATATACTCTTTTTGTGATTTTTTTTTGTTGCTTTCTTTTTTAATTCCATTTTCAATCAAGCCTACTTGTGTAGGTAGTACTAGTACTACCTTGTAACCACATTTGTTTGTTTGTTTTTTTTGTTTTTTTTCAAATAATTCGATACATATTATTATTAAATTACGGCTTCTTCGATCGTCGTTACTATTATTTTGTATCGTCGTAAATGGTAATAATCTTCTTATCGTCGTACGTGTCTTCAAATTTCATTTGTAAACCTTTCGTAATACATAGAATAATTAATTAATATATTTATTTATATATTTATAAACGTATATATATATTTATATATGTATATTTATATAATTGACGAGTTAATTAATGCAAATCGTCTTTGTTGCATGTGTATATGTATAAAACAATTGTAAGATAAATGAGAACCAAAATGGCGTCAGTTAAACTCTTCACAGTTGATGTTGATTTGTAACAAATGTGTTTTATACGATACAAATTTGAACACACTTTGAGTTATATGTTAAACAAAATGATTCGTTTGTAAAGATCGAAGAATATGTACCATCTGTTGTTTATTTTTTTTTTTTTTTTATTTCTTCGTGTGTTCACACTGGCGAATTTAACATTTGGAAAGTAGGAGGCTTGAAATACAATTAGAAATTTTGGAAGCCCTATTGAAAATAAATCAATATTATATTTTCTTGCATATGTGGCTCAGAATCAGTCCGATACACACGTCTGTAAATCAACGAATTACCTTATACCGCCATCTGTTAGAATCTTATCGAACTAACAGAGACAATCATGACTCTAATTAATTAATAAACAAATAATTCGATTATAAATTAAGATAAAAACTATTCTATCTTTCAAGTTGAATGATACTTCATACAGTGTGGAAAATTTGATTAAAATCGGTTTAGTGGTTTAGGAGTCCATTGCGGACAAACAACGTGACACGTAATTTATATATATATTATAAGATATATTAAATGTGTCCATGTGTATATAGAAGCTCCTGTTTTTTATTTAAATTCGCCAAACACACACATACAAACTGTTTTCATAGTTCATTATTTTCTTTGACAATGATTCATTTCGAAGGTTCATTAAACAAATAAAATCAAGAAGACACGGACGAACTAGAAGATTATTATTAATTTATAATTGTTTTCTTTTTCTTTTTGAAAACGAGAACAGGACGTGTTTTTTTTTTTTTAATGAGATTTTGCGATATTTCCTTGTTGTTTTTTATTATATATATATATATATATATGTAAATACCAGGAACGGATTTAAAAAGGGTAACGAAGAAATGGAGGCCTTGTTTAATTATTTGCAACAACAAATTTAGGTGAAATAAAATATGTATATATATAACTGTCATCAAATAATTTATTACCTTAACTAAAAGTTTGTATCAAATAACATATATATATATAGATAATGAAAAATTTGATATAAATTCAAATGATTGATCAATGTGTGGGGAAAAAGGTTTCATTTCATTACTATCAATGAATGAAATATTTGACAATAAAATAAAATCATTGTTAAGGCCCCTTGTTATTACCCTTTCCTAAATCTCTCCCTGGTAAATACGTAAATATACGTCTTTGAAAAGTACAACAAATGAAAAATTTAAATAACAAATATATATATTCTATCATATTTTTCTTCAATAATTTTTTTACAAATTCAATCAAATATAATACAAACATATTAGATGTTTACTTTTTATTGTAAAAATAAAACAGAAAGTTTTGGTCCATTATTCTTGAAAAAAAAAAAAAAAAAAAAACAAATAAATAGTCAAATAAACGAATACTAATAAAATAAAAATAAAAATAAAAATAAAATAAACAAATTTAAATTATTATTATACGTTAAATTGTTTCAAGGACTTTTCAATGACGTTGTACTATATTTTAAATTCGTTCGGTATCCATCATTCGTCTTGTAAAACAAAGATTATTATTTTTATAAGCGAGAGAAATAGATTCCAATGATCGACATGATTTCGAGCGAGACAAATGATAAATATTTAGGTATATATATATATATATATTACTTATAATTAAATCCTTCCTGTATCTCTATTTTCATCATCCCCATTTTGTTTTGTAATTTACAAAATACTCGCTGGAACACATGAATCGATTCAAATCATCTTTGGTGTCCTTTCATGACCATTTCAAAGATTATTATTGCTACTAACGGATAGATAAAAATGTTCTCTCTTTGTTGTATTTTTTTTTTTTTTGTTGTTCTTTCTTTCTAATCTTTCGCGCGTTAACATCGATATAGAATAAATTTGTTTATCTTTTTTTTTAAATAATTGTTGTTGTTGTTGTTGTTGTTGTTGCTTTATTTTTATCGCCAGCGATTCGATCGTGTTACTTTTTGTTGTCCTGCATACAACATACATGCGTGCACTTACATTTTTTATTTATTCATACATACATACATACATATATACGTTATTATTCATATATATACATACATACATACATGCACATGCACACACACACACACACACACACACTTTCATATATGCTTTTATATTTATCATCGACAAATTTATTTTTCGTTGAATCAACTTACGTACTCTTTTCTCTACTACAAAGGTTTATTGTTATTTTTATTTTTCAATAATCGCATTAAATGATTCGTAATAATAATAGTTATAATAAAATTAAATAAATAAATAAATAATAATAATTATTATATATATATATATAAATATATATGTATGATATATTATTTTCTATATCACTTGTTACCAGGTCGATAATGTAGTTTTCACTTTAAACATAATACTCGATGGAATGTATGTGTGTAATATGTACGTGTACCTGTGTGTGTGTGAGATTATAAAATAAAATAAAATAAAAGAAAATACAATAAATTAAAAATATATATATATATATATATATATATA